ACCCTTTTCACATCACATGTACTTACAAACACAATTACCTTAAATTCAAACAATAATCTAGATACGCACACATTAAACTCAAATCAAAATTACCATCATCCTAATACACATACATTAAATCCAAATACCACAATGACGAGTTCAACATTAATCAATTAGAAGAGCTATTAGTATGATAAAGTGTGTTTTCTAGTTTTTGACTTTTTACGTCATCAAACGGTAAATATTGAATCATAAACTTTGTGAAATTTATTTTTACCTTTTTGTGAAGTTTAATTCAAGGTAACCTTATTTGTTTAAAGCAACATATTTTAGGTAAAATTTCACAAAAATAGTACCATAACCTGGTTATGACCATTTTTGTTAGAAAACCTTAACTTTTTTTTTTTTTACATAAAATGATAGATTTTTAGATTTTCTTTTTGTAAAACCAAATCCTTGGTATTTATAACTAGTTTCATAACATATGTCCAAAATAACATATTTTGATTTATATCCCATAAAAATGGGGTAATAACTTCGTTATAACCATTTTGCTAGAAAAGTCATCTTATGTTCATAAAACCCTAGTTTTTATAGTTTTGTTTTTATGACTTTTTCTTAAAAACATATAGTATGTTTATACTCATTTTTCATAGATTTGTATTTTAAACAACATACCACACATAAATGTTCATAATGCTAGGTAATAACATTATTTCATGTAGATAACACTTTTACATAACATGAAAGTAAGCATGTATAACAACTTGTACAATTAGACAAGTTTACTTATATTCTCCCCCTAAAACTTGGATAAAGATGAAAATGAGGGGTATGAACTCACCTTGAGTGTGTTTCATAGTGGATAAAGAGGTGAAGATGAGAGATTTAAAGCTAAGAACACTTGAAGATTGAAATATCATACATATATATATATATATATATATATATATATATATATATATATATATCAACACATATTAATGTGTGTAATTGTAACAAAACTAGTATATATATGCATAGAATCACTAGATTAGTAAGGAAAAACTTACCAAGGAATCAAGAACCAACTTATGAAAATTAATCTTGAGAGGAAAAACTTGTTCTTGAGGAGGAGATGAACAAAATGAAGAAGATGGGATGAGGGGGGGGGGGAAGCAGGGGTGTTTCGCTCGAAATAAGAAGGAGAGGGAGGGAGGGTGAGGGAGTAGGTATTTTGGGGCGGGGGAGGGGGGGGGGGGAGTAAGGAATGGTTTCTTAAATTTTATATTAAAGACTGGCTCTTTCAATTAAATAATACATCTTTTATAAAATATGTAATAATCATATAAGACAAAAGTGGTTTCTATAGTTTATTTTTATAAAAGAATAGGTAATTTTTATAAGAGTTGGTGATTTTTATAAAAAGTGTGGTAAAAATGACATATAATTACTTAATTTAAATCATCTAAATTCAAATTATCATAAAAATCATTATCATAAAAAATAATAACACATTACACGAAAGTTAGGATGATTCCTAATTCTTTTCGTTAAAGTTTGGGTGCTTAAGTTGGGTATAGAATCCATTGCATTTTGTGACGAATTCACAAAAAATCTTAATATGTAGCATTTGTTATGAATTTGTCATGTTGTATAAGGTTTATGAACTCAACTACATTGTTTTATGAATATTATTTATACCTAAATAATATATAATTGAAATCGAATTTTTATGTTACTAACCCTAATTCGGGTTTATATTCAATAATTGGTAAAAAGAGAGGTACTTTGAATTATAGATTGCCAATAGTACATTAGTAACATTAGGGAATATCACATTTCTCCTAAAATTCTAATACGAGTTGACTTGACCTTGTTGGCTTTTGTTGACTTTGTTTGTCCAAAATGGATGGTTGTCACATCATCCCCCTGTTAGAAGGAATTGCATGCCAAAATTAGCACTTCGAGTGGCTCCTCAAGAGTTAGGGAAACGATGTGGGTATTTCTGTTTCATTTGATCCTCACGTTCCCAAGTAAATTCAGGTCCTCGCTTGGCATTCCAATGGACCTTTACTATTGGTATGCGGCTTTGCTTCGTTCTTTTAACTTCCCTGTTAATGATTTCCACGGGTTCCTCAATGAAGTGGAGACTCTCGTTTACTTCAATTTCATCAAGTGGAATGACGAGAGTCTCATCGGACATGCATTTCTTTAAGTTGGACCCATGGAAAGTGGGGTGCATGTTGCTGAGTTTTTGAGGTAGCTAAAGTTTGTAAGCTATCGGGCTAATCCTGGAAAGGATCTCGAATGGCCCTATATACCTTGGATTTAGTTTCCCACGTTTTTCAAAACGTATCATTCCCTTCTAGGGTGAGACCTTCAACAATATGCGGTCACCAACCTGGAATTCCAAGGTTTTGCGTCGTTTATCCGTATAGCTCTTTTGTCGGTCCCGAGATGCCTTTAGTCGTTCATGGATCTGAACGATCTTCTCTGTTGTTTCCCATATGATCTCAAGGCCGGTAAGAGTGTTGTTAGGCACTTATCCTCTAGCTAGCTGAGTGGCAACCACCTCAGCCCAACACAGAGGTGATCTGCAATTACGCCCATAGAGGGCTTCAAATGGATCAACTTTAATGCTAGAGTGATAACTGTTGTTGTATGAGAATTCGATGAGTGGTAAGTAGGTATCCCACGCTTTACCGAAGTCTATCACACAAGCTCTAAACATATCTTCCAACGTTTGAATAGTTCTTTCTCTTTGCCTGTCGGTTTGTGGGTGATAGGTTGTACTCATGTCGAGTCTGGTTCCCAAAGAATTTTGTAGCGATTGTCATTATCTACAGTCTTTTCCTATCACTTTTTTTTTTTCAAAACACAATTAATATCCATTATCCACAACATAATTGCACAACATTAACTTTACTTGCCGTGGATCTCATCCTTAGAATTGGTTTTTGTTTTTTCCAGTGTAATAGCTCATTAAATATGGAATTAGTTTGGATGTTAGGTTCAAATTCTCTCCCATCATCATCATCTACAATGTTGTTATCCTCCTCCTCATCAACACATAACTTACACAAGAAATGATCATTTGTTGTCCTATTCATATGCACTACATCCTCATTAAATTCAAACTCAACATTCCTAAGTTCATCTATGGTTTCTTCATTTTCACCATCAATACAAGACTCACGTTGATCATCATCATTATATTCATCATCAAACCACCCATCAACACCAACCCCAATATGATCCACATAAACATAAATTACACCATCTGTTCCATAAGCATAAAAAATAAAAGTAGCATATTCTACATCATTTGAAATGGGATTAAGCCTTTCCATCAGGGAAATTCCTGGTTCACAGTAGTATAACGTTTTACAATCTTCATGCATGAAATGTTCGAAGAAGGTCACACACTCAGAATTAGTCATAGAAGAAAAGTCGACATCATTAAACATGGTTTTCACACCATCAGTATAAGAGAAAGGATTACGAGTAAACACCCCTTGGTAGTTGACTTCCATCATAGGAAATAGTCTATTAGGTTTCGATTGTGACATTGCTGCGACTTCTTTGGTACTTCAGCTCGATCACAAAAATGTTCCACAAACCCTAGATCAGTTTCGTTTACAATTGAAGAATGAAGACGAGTGAAGTTCGACAACTGAAGACGATAGGTTTTAAGCATCGCATATCATTTATTGACGTGACATATCTCACGTGGCATCAGATTAGCCAAAAAATAAATATTAATTTATAATATAAAATGTCAACCGGGAACCGTTTAAAAGCAGGAAAAATGGCTAAATTGACAGCTCATATACAACTTTGGTGGTTTAATGTACAAAAAATAAATAAATAAATAAATAAATTAGTAACCAAATTAGCAAAATGTCAACTTTCATGTGCTACAATGTTATTTTCCCTAATAAAAATAAAAATAACATAATATTTTTTTGTTCAATCCCTAAGAAACTTATTTTTTTATCGGATTTGTCAATACCAGACACAAAATATAAATAACTCACCAAATAATAATAAAAAAAATTCATTTTTTTTCATGTTAATGCTATAAATGTGTAGATGTTTGTGGTTGTGTGTGATTGTATGTGCTGTATGTGTTTATCTTTTTTTGTTTTCATTTTTTTTATTTCATGCTATAAATGTGTATATGTTTGTGGTTGTGTGATTGTATGTGCATGTGTGCGTTTTGGATGTGATTGTATGTGGGTTTGTAAGAATTTGTGACTTTGTGGTATGTATATGTGAGTCAAATAAATAAATTGTTATTTCTGATTTTGCGACACATTCTATCTCTCTTTACTAAAAATACTTATTTAAACTACTCGCAACACACCAACTTACAAGTTAAAACCTTCGTTTTGAACAATCAACCTCTAATCATATAACATCAAACGGTGTTTTGACATGTCATTCATTTCTTTTTAATTTTATTAAGTCGACTAAACTGAATCATACAATTTTACAATTTAGATTATAGTGTATCAATAAAAGTCAAGAGTAGACCTATTCTTCCTATCTTAAGTATATATTTTCAAGAATCACTACATACACATTACTTAAAGTATACGACAATGTATTGTATCTATACGATTCTATTTTACACTGATAAAATGAATAAAAAAAACAGTGAATAAATATTCAAAAAAAAAAAAAAAAAAAAAAAAAAACTTCAATCAATATCATCCCTTCCCCTTTCAAATTTCAATTTCTCCTGTCCCTGAAATCCAGTCAAAACCCATATCACAAAATCAACAAAATCATCAAAATCAAAAACTAAAATATTCTACGATCTATACTCAAACTCATCTATCATCTACCATCTACAATATCTGTTAACGAAAGCGACATTGAAGAAGAAATCCCCAGCTCTAACCTCCCCAAACTTCGGATGCGAATACGACCCTGATCCTGAACTCAACGTCTGAGCATATTTCGTCCATAAATCCTTCGATTTCATCTTCTCCAATAAGTAAACCTCCATTTCTTCACCTTCACCTTCAGATTCATCTCCTTCCTTCCTCCTCTCCCCTTCTAACACCTTCACAATCTGTCTCATCGTCGGTCGCATTTTCGCATCCGGATGTGCGCACAATAGCCCCAAATGCAGCACCATTTTCGACTTCCTCAACGTCAATTTCAATTTCACCACCTTCACCTTTTAATTTCTCATCCATGGCGGAAATTAGCTTGCCCTGTTCCATCAATTGGGATACCCAATTGACTAAAGCGATTGTTCCTTCTGTTATCGGTCGTTTCCCGGTTATTACTTCGAGAATTAGGATTCCGAAACTGAAAACGTCGGTTTGTGTGGAGGCGCGGCCGGTTTTAATCACCTCCGGCGCTAGGTATCCGGCGGTTCCGACCACCCGAGTGGTGGTCGCCACTTGTCCGTGTTGGTGCATCCGGGCTAATCCAAAATCGCCTAATTTTGCGTTCATTTCTTTGTCGAGTAACACATTGCTTGACTTTATGTCTCGATGTAAAACCTTCGATTCCCACCCTTCGTGTAAATACAAAACCCCATTTGCGACATCTTTCAAGATTCTCAGTCTGTCGTTGAAATTCAAGATCTTGTTGTCATCTTTCCGATCGAATAACATTTTGTCTAGACTTCCGTTTTCCATGTAATCGTAAACTAAGATTAAGCTACCTTTTTCTTTCTTGCACCAGCCTCTTAATCCGACGAGATTCCGGTGTTTTAGTCTTCCGAGACTTGAGACCTCCGCCAAGAACTCTCTGACGCCGTCGTTGTTGTCATGGGCGATTCTTTTCACGGCGATTTCTGTGCCTCCGATGACCCCTTTGTAGACCTTCCCGTTTCCACCGATTCCGATCACATTTTCATCGGAAAAGCTTTTTGTTGCTACATCGATGTCTTGAAAAGGGATTCTGTGAGGCCAGTATTCTAGTTCCCAATCCTCCATATCTGCTTTCTCTTTTGCTATTCTTCTCTTTCTCGTGATCCAAATAAAACCAAGAAAACTAGCAGCGATGAGAAGGATGAGTATACCCAATGTTAAACCAACGATGAACCCTGTTGATCGATAAATAGGCTTACCAGGAAGCACAAATGAAGGGAGTCCTTCGGTAATCAGATCATCACTCAATGAGAAATTCGAATTGCTAAAGCTCCAACTCAAGATGTTGTGGCTTTGAATCAATTGCCCTGTTGCAGCAGTAAATCCCACATACATTTCATCTTCAAAAACATCGGATAAATTCAGCGGGACACATAACAAACACCTGGTGGGTTTCTTGATCCCGACAGGAGCCATAGTCACATTAATCATAAAATCTTTGTAATCAATCCACACTTGATAGTTTCGGCCATTGTTGAGCTGTAATCTTCTAAAAACCCCATCTTGATCTTCATAATACCCAGCATCCGTTGAATTAACGGATGTTAAAGAATTGACATCGATACCTACATGGTTTTCATTAATATCTTCAAACTCTTGGTTTCTAAACACATCAAATTCAACACCAAACACATGATTGCTTGAATTCCCATCAACTCCTCTACTAAACAGACCAAGATTCTGAGCTGCGGCTGTGTTCTGAATCCCGGTGACTGGGGTGAAGAGAAATACCAAGCCGTGGCCGGGAAGAACGTTTGTGGTGGGTGCCATGGCGAAGATGAAGGAGGTGGAGAAAGGGAGGAGTGACGACGAATTCTTTGTGGGGATCTTCTCAGGGTACAAAGCGCGTCCAATTTGACCCGGAGTGGAGTTTGTGAGGGTTAGGATGTTCGATTGGATGGTGGCGTTGCCATAAAGTGAGACGGAGGAGGAATTGAACGAGTTAACGATGAAATCAACGGCGGCGGAAGGTGTGAGCTGGAGGTAGAAGATGAAGAGTAGGAGGAGATAATAAAAAGAAAGGTATTTGTTGTTCATGGCAGGGAGATTAAGGAACAGAAATGGTGTAAAACATGAACAATAAATGGGGAGAAATGGTTGAGAAGAAGGTATGAGGTGAGTGGTGGTTGACAATTTGTAAACTTATTAATAGTCTTTGCCTTTTTTCACATTCAACTTAATTGTACACTGTCCCTATCCAAAATTTCAAACATAACAAAAGGAAAGGTTTTGTTGAGTTCTTTTACTAAAAATAGGAGTTGGAAAATGTATTTACAAGGATGTAGCAATTTAAAATTTATTTATTAATTAATTGTATTACTTTTAAATAATTAAAATGAAAAAGAAACTCTTCAATGTTCTTCACTCTTCTGGAATATCATCGAGTTTTGTTGGAGAGTAAGATGGTGTTTTAAAAAAAATATATATTTAACATACTCTCGTACTTGAAATAATTAACAAAAAAAATGGTATATATAGTTTGGAATGTGGTCTAATCTCTTTTAAGCCACAAATATAAGAGTATAGGTTTTTTAACAACCCCACCCCATTTCATTATTTAATCATATTGCAATTTACCTTATATTTTAGTTTTAAATATTTATTATATAGTTACGAATTAATTGTTCTGTTAAATGTTTAATCACAATTCATTTTTAAAATATAAATTTTATATCAATTATATAGGATTTTGAACCATTTTTTATTTTTATAACTATAACGTATTAATTTTTTTTTCGTATTTTATGTATATAGAATAAAAACATAACATAGCTATATTTGTATTTCTATTTGTTTGTGACATTTAATATATAATATATGTTTTAAACCCGACTAATTAAATGAGAGTTTTATAAAACATTTTACATAGATAAGAATAGACTAATTAAATTTTTTTTTAAGGCTATCGTAAGAGGTTAACCGTTGGAGATGTTATTTATTTAGAGGTTAAAATTCCTGAAATTGTAAGTTAACAATTGGAGATGCTAAAAGAATAAAATAATTTATTTATGGTATGTAGAATCTCTCCCTCTTGTTTGTTTCCTTGTTGGTAATAAAATTAAAAAAATATTAAGTATCACAAAGAAGTACCTTTTTACTTGCCGGAAAATGAAAAAAAATAAAAATCAGTTTGAAAGTATCAACAATACCCACATATTTTGTTTGCTCACCCGAAAATAAAACATCCCAGACTATTTGAAAATACGAACAACAATAATGTCAGAAATACATAGGAGGTTTATCAGTAAAGTTGTTTTAGAACTTGAACTTCTCAGGTTGTCCAAAACTGGTCATTGATGGGGTGTATTGATATATGGAAATGAGCAAGGGGGAATTAGGAGGGATATGGTTCATTGTTGTTGTGTGTGGATTGTGGAACTCTCTAGAAATCTATATAGCTTCCAGGATACTCTAAATCGCTTTCGGGGTATATTGTCATATTCTTTCTCTAGGTCGATAAACACAATATAGATATCCCTAGTTCTTTGTCTCTATATTTCTCCGAAAGGACTCTAAAGAGGTGGATCGTGTAACACCTGTTTCCCAGAATGGATCGGTTGATGATATAAAAGAATAAAATGCATGGTTTTTTTAGGAAACCATATGCCACAATGTGGCGCATGGAGTGTCACAAAATGGCATGCTAAATAAAGAATGCGTCTTTTTGATGGATACCGCGGCATGACATGAAGGGTGTAACAATGTGGTAAACACTACAGCCCAAGCTCATGGTTTTTAGGGTTTCCTTCATATTTAAGGGCCTTAAGGGTTAGGCAATTCTCTTTAGCCTCTATCCCCCCTAAACGAAACACTAGCCTCTCCTATTGCCTTTTTGCTCTTTGATGGTCTTTTAGTCACTTGAATGTTGAAGGAAGACTTTGCTGAGAAAATGATCAACTATCAAGATTGCCTTCATCTTTTGGTGTATCTTTTAAACTCTTGTAAGCCTCCAAGTTCTCATCTTTTTGGCTCATCCTATAGTGCACCAAAAACAAATTAGACCTTGTGTAGCTGCCCACTTTGCCCCCTCCAACACCTCTTATGTGGTTATATAGTAGTAATAGCTCGCTCTCGGGTGGATCATATGTTCGACTGTTTATATGATCCCTCACTACATATGACTTATTGTATTGTAGGGAAATACCATATGGTAGCCCATGACACTTGCTTGTAGACCATGTAGGTAGCCTATGGCCTTTTTAGGAAAGACCATGAGAGTGTTGGATTAAGGTCATAACTAAACTAGTATATAGTGGAATTGAAAACAAAGTCTTTTTTGGATTGCCCTCATACCTAATAACTAATTAGAATGACTTTTGGAGAGAGAGAGAGAGAGAGAGAGAGAGAGAGAGAGAGATTTATTGACTTATTATATAATTAATAAAGAGTAAAAAATGATCTGTTAATATACTATTTGATTAATATATTAATTGGAAATAGTATTATTTAATTAAGAATTAATCAGAAATTAATTAGAATTAATTTTGGGATTAATTAAAATTACACGGACTTAAGTTGTAATTGTTCAATAGTTGAATAAGAGGGATTCTAGAATGTTCCAAAGGATATATATATATATATATATGGTTTTGGTAGATGTTAAAACACATGTAGAATATTCTCTAAAGGTAATTAAGGGATTGTATAATCACCTAATTTGAAATATTAATATTATATTCATATTAGGGTTTTCAATTTTACTTTTATCAGCTATAAATCGAACCCTTGGGATCCTTATTTCGTGCACTCTCATAACCTAAGGATAGCCGAAATTTCAACACCCTCTTCTTCTCTCCTCAAGTCTTCAAAGTACTAGGGGTTGGGTACCAACCATTAGAGACACTAAGCTTTTGGTGCTTATTGTCCAAGACTTTTGAAGAAAGATTTTATTTGGTTATCTATAATAATCAAAAGGTATGTAAAACCTAATCCTATGTATATTTCGACTATTATATAGTTCCTTTAGGGTTCTTGATATTCAATAGTTTATTGCTATCAATTAGAGAAAACATAGATCCTTTATAGGTTGCATGTGTACTTAAGAGTTAAGATTTTCTGCAACACATGTTTTGTTATAACCTATTAACACTTTCAGTGGTATTAGAGACATTGTTTTCTATTGACTGTGCATAAAATTGAATAGGTCAATATTAGGGTTTATCGAAGAAAAACCCTTTTAGTTTTAAAATTTTCGACTTAGATAGGATTCTTGAAACCCTAGCCTTCACCCATTAATTTCAAAAATTGCTAAGGTTCCCTTAGGGTTTTCTAGTTTTCTTAATTATTATTCTAATTTCCCTAAAATTTGAATATTGAAACCTGATAACCCTAAACCATACTTTTCAAAAATGAGTCGGGTTTAGGATTAGGATTAATTTTGAATTATTTTATTAATTGTTTAATTGAAAATAATTATCTAACCCCTAAATGATTTAAATTAATTAAATTAAAAGTTTAATTAAAATATAAAGATTAAATAATAATTAGTTTAAATTTAATTAATTAAAAGCTTAATTCAGATAATTAATATTTAAACCTTATATTTTGAAAAGTTTAAAATACACCTTATATATTATTAAAGGTTTAATTACTATATTTATAAGAAAACTAAGCCAAATCAATAGTATGTCTCATTCATGATACAATGCTATAAAGAGAGTATAAGGAAACAACCAATAAAATAACCATTGAATGAGTGTCTTTTTCACCCATGTGGTAGGGGGTCGTTAGCCGAGCGGGTTCGATAAAACATAATCTCGTTAAAATTATAATGATATAAAGTAACAATTTTTTCTTTTAAATGTCACTCTAGTTACTTTAGGAAAAAATGTGAAAAGTATGCTAAATCGTAGAAAATTTATAACTTCCTCATACGAAATCAGATTTGGACGTTCTTTTTATACACGCTCTCGGTTTAACATGTACTGTGACTTTCGTTTAAATAGCTAAGGCTAAAAAGCACTTTATCGTAAACTCACTTTTACATCACACAACGTCGTGCCTGTTTTTTCGTGAAACTTCGACAGATCATAACTTCTTCGTTATAGCCCAGATTCCAGCTTTCTTTATATCTTCGAAATCCTTGTCACGACCACGACAACTTTCTTCATTGATATCGGGTTTATATATATTTATTTTTGACGCTTATTTTCATTATATCTTTATAAACAAGTATATAAGCACATAAAATCACATAATCCACATAATATTCAACTAATTCAATTTTATTACTTCAAAATAAGTTATAGTTGTTGACCCTATTACATCATCGTATCAATGCTTTGCCTTGAAACATGGGAGTTACAAGCGCAAAACAGTGCAACCTCAACCCAATACAATACCCATACATATACTGATAATCATACAGACAAAGTCACACGTAGTCCTACAAATCTACTAGACTGACAAATCGACAACTAGCATAAACATGCATAGCTAATCCATACTTGACATATTATAGGATAACAAGATATCAAATTTATGGGTCGGCCTGAATGCCTTTGACCCGAAAATACAGTGAGGAAAACTCACCTCAACCCGCTAATACTCCAAAGACTGCTCACACCGCTGAACTAGATAATTCTCGCGATAACTAAAAATATACAATTTAAAATCAATAAGTGACATGATCACCTAAAATTCGAAGCCCAAAGTCTTATTTATTACCCAAAGCCCAAATGTGGCCCAATTATCCAAAATTGGGCCCAAACCCATCATGAACCTAGCCCGAGAAAAGCCCAATATCCAAAAAGGCCCAAAATATCCAAAAGTCAACCATGGTCAAACTTCTTATCAAAGGTCTGTAGCCGACAAGTCAACAAAACAAGAAAAGTCAAACATGCCGAGTACGCGCCCGCGTACTCAGCTGGTATGCCCAACATACACCCTTTGGGGCCAATACAGGCAACGTTCTAGATGGATATGCCCAACATACTCCCCTGAACCCCAATCCTCTCCATTAAGCACTTAACTACTTAAGTCCTTGCTCCAAACTCTCAGATTTGATTCCTATGGATGACTTATCACGTAAATTTGGC